TGGCTCCTTTTAAAAGTAGTACAGCCCATTTTAAAATGCTCATGAGGAGTTTTATTTTAGGGCCCTGGATTTATTATGCATTATTAGGGGTTTTATTAATAGCGGGAACGGATTCTCATTTAGCTGCCATGGTGCCCCTATGCAAGTCAGGACAAGCGAGTGAAGGTCTCAAGGCCTGCCTGGTCTGAAGTGCAACCTTCCAGACCAGTATAAAATCACATCTCTGCTTGACACGGCCCAGGCAAGGATGCGTTAGGGCCCGGCAGGGCTGGGAGACTCTCAGTATGCTTTTCTGCCCATCAGGTGCAACAATGACAAAAGCGATCCCCAGCTCAAGAATTTTGCAGGCTCCTTCTTGTGTAAGGCTGAAACTATGGGTGCAGCTCGGCCTCTTCCAGCTGCACTGAAAGGATTCCAAAGCTCACCATGCTTTCCTAAAGCCTGGACACCTGCTTTCGTCTAGGGCTTGCCTCACGACTTCAGAACCCAATTCGCTCTGGCGCCCTCAAACCTGCAACTGTTCATGTCAAGTCGATCGAGCAGCCGGACCCTATCTACAGAGTGTTGCATACAGGCACGTCTCAAACGAATGTCCCCGACCCTCCCACCAGATCACAGGCAACATGTGGGCCCTAACACTTGATTGTGTTGCACGCCTTTCGGGGCTTCGGCATTCGGGCTGTGCGCAAAGCGAAGGACCAAAAGCTGACCCTCTTGATGAAAAGGCCTACGCTCTTCCAAACATGAGGTGTCACGGGTTCCACATGCGATATCAAGGCTGCATAGACAAAGTCTCAACTTGAAGCCCTGAAGCCAAACCCTCTACCTCCGGATGCACCAATCCCCGCCCAAAAACTGAGTTGTGAAGCCTGGAATCCGCCACACACCAGGATCATATGCATAACCCTCAGCCCCTGAATCCGCCTCGCTCTTTTTGAGTCGCTCCGAGCCACCAAGGTCGCACTGCACGCAGCATGGGATTGTTGCACCGTGCTGACTTGCAGGCTCGGAGAATGCATGTTTGGGAGTTCAGAGCTCTTGGGCTTTAGGGTCCGGAGATTCTTGAAGCTTAAGGTTTTCGCTTCACGAGTTGGGAATGATCTTTTACCATCAGCAACAACTCGCCGTCGAAGCGCTATTTCAGGACCTCTAGCCCCCAGAAGCCACCAAAGCCTGAGACCCCTAACCCATGGCACCAGGATGATCTTCCCGGACAGAGACTCCCGCGTAGTCCGGTTCGTAGTGGTGACCTGTCGCAGTCTGTAAAGTTAGTGCTGATTTTTGCTGATTCGCAGAATTCAGCGTTCTTAGCTGAGGGTTTTTGAATTGAGGTGTGTTGTGAATTAGATGTCTTAGACACTCCGGGTTTAAGTTTCAGAGGTGCGGGGTTTAGGGCAGTTTAGGGTCTTCCGCCGTTTGGCTGATGCCCACTTCTGGGAGCTAAGACCCTGATGCGAGCGACAGCCCCAACACCCATGGCCCATGACAGAAGTTTCGAAAAACTGGAGCTCTCTCCAAACTGGGGTCCATTGTCAGCAACATGAGTCTGTCTTCTTCGTTACGTTGTCGGAGTAATTAATCATCAAATCTCTCGACTGCAAAGTACGTACTTGGAAGAGCCACAGCATTGTAAGAAGGCTGAGTGAGGCATACAGCCTACTCAGCTGGCCACAGGTATGTTAGGCTGGGCCGAACCTGTCTTGCATGCTTTCAGAATACTTCCCTCCAATCTAAGGCCTATACGGTCAGGACAATAGCATGCCTGGCGCTTCAGGACTGGCCTGTCCAAGGGTCATCCAAGATCTCCGACGGCTCTGAGAGTTAGGGTTGTGATGACGTGCTTTTCCCATTTTAGGTGCGCTTAGTCCTGCGCAGCGACTCGATCCTCTCAAAACCGATCCGCAGCAAAAATCATAAACAAACGTAACTTCAGGCTGAGACCCAATGCCTTGACAGTGAACATGACGTGTGACCGCGAGCCTCGCGAGCAGCAATTGCAAGGATTAGGGGATTCAACGAACAAAGGCTCTGGCATTCCTCACTTACATCAACAACGGCTTTTGTTGGGAAGCATGCTCCCGTGTTCTGTTGCAAGATAATGACACTGAGAAGCTACTCGCTGCAAGATTTCTACCAGTATCGGTATGGGATGCTCGGGTTATACAGACTAGGACATTTCTGTGCTTACCTCTGAAGGGCTTGGAAGTTGTGCGCCTTCGACTGTGATCCTAGGATCTAGATCCGAATTTGAAAGTATCAGATCTGAGAACTAAGGTTACTGATGCAAGGCCGTTGATTCAGGTTCAAGCTTTGGGTTTAGGAGGGCCTTGAGTGCTTAATCTCCAACCCTTAATTCCAGGGGATTCATGATTGACCAGGAGGTGGCCTGGTCCCAATCTGTAGCTTTTACAGATGCTGGGCTTCTCATTCTTCAGGAACACTTGAGGCTCGAGCTGTCCGCATTCATGGAGTGCGCGGCCACAGTTCGGGCAGCGAGGCCTGGCATTTGTAGCAGTCAATTGTCCAGAAGCTTGGGATTGGGTTAGGGGTGGGTTATTGTCAGCTTTGCTGAAAATCAGCGCCAGCACAGATCCTTGAAAACAGAGCCAACCGACTACGCCACTTAACGCAGTAGCTTTCTCAGTATTTCCTGGCGCCTCGATTCAGGAGACGCCGGAGCTCCGGAACGTCCTGGCACCAATCTTAGCATTCAGACGTATGACGCGCGTGTCGGAAGTATTTCGACATATATAAATTGGCTGGCTGCACACATCCTAGGCAGGGAAATCTTCACATTCCAAGCGTCAAGCCATCATACAACCCCAGACTGCTTTGCGGGATGTGCGTTCTGCGATCAAAGGCTGTGCTTCTTTGCAAATGACATGGCTGAAGGTTGCTTGAAACCCGGGGTACAAAAATCTCTGCAAAAGGTCATACATGTTTTGGACTCTTGACGCTGCTTGACATCGTCAATTCAGTCCGCAAAACCAACTGAATCTACAGAACTGTCGCAATTGCGGCGCTGAACCTATAGGTCAAGTATGCACAGGAATGCATCCGAACAAATTCCCAAGATGAGAGAACCTCATGGTGCAACAGCAACGTGTGCGTACAGCTTTTGGTTCCGAGATGCCTGTGAAGAAACCTGACGATGGGAGACATATCTGCAAATTCCACAATCAGCGTAAAGCCTCTGCACATGACCAGCACTGCAAGTTGCAAATGATGTAACAAGAACCTGTAAATCTGAATCCTTGGGCGCTTAACCCTGTGTCTTCTCTGAACCCCCAGACCGAACCGCATCATTCAAGTCCAAAGCCAAGTTCAAAAAAGACTTCCCAGGATTCACGAGACTGGAGCGTGCTGCAATCTGTGGCTATGGTTTCCAATAGAGCCAGTCCTTGGCTTCTTGTTCCGTGAGGTTCTCTACCTCCGGTTTTGCAGGCTGAGCGAAGGCTTCGTAAAATGGTGCTGGCCGAATGTCAAAATCCGAGCTTCTGGGTGCAGTCTGCCCTTAGCCATGCGAGCTTTTACACCTTAAAACTGAAATCTGAATCTAAGGCTGACATGAAGCCCAAGCAGAAAACCTGCATATAGAACACCCACCTGTGTGCCACCATCATGGCACGTGCGGAGGTTAAGCTTCGGCGAGTTTGTGGGGCCTCAGAAACCGATTTTGAGCTTTGAAGGCTGCTAAAATGCGTTCCCTTCTTTAGCATTAAGTGGCTTGCATGCAGCTAGTGCCGCAGCAGCAGTGTCAAAGTCTAGTGCAACAGCTGGTCTGATGTCTTGGACCCTTTCCATATGTCTTGAAGACTTCCATTGTAATATTCCCCTGCTACAGAGACCTCCAAAAAGCAAGCAAGCTAGCAGTAGTAGCGAGGGTCGGACTGGGAGAAAGGGAATGAGTGCAGCAACAACGGTACATGGCATCTACTACGGGATACTACGGGCTTTGGAGTGACATTTGCAGGGCCTGGGCTTCTACAGGCATTGAGATTCTTGTGGTGCTACAGGAACGACGGAATCACAAGGGCTGAACATGAAAGAGTTCATTGTGAAGAGATTCCTAGATGCGATGGATGCAATTCCTCCTGCTGCTGCTGCTGCAGTAGTAGTAGTAGTAGTAGTAGTAGTAGTAGGAGGAGGAGGAGGAGGAGTGGTAGTAGTCGTCGTAGTGGTCGTCGTCGTCGTCGTCGTCGTCGTCGTAGTAGTAGTAGTAGTAGTAGTAGTAATAGTAATAGTAATAGCAATAGTAGTAATCACAAATGATCCCTGTACCTCAGTGCACGACTGCTTCCACCACGTCGCATCGGTCGCAGCAAGTCCACAAGTTTGCCACAGTACAGTTCGACCTGAGTCACATCATATCCATTGAGGCCTTGGGGATGCTCGCCAAACTTGCAGGCCCGTCAGGCATCGTTAGGGCATCACAAACAACATGGAGAAGCACTAAAATGATCAACGTCTATGGCATGAGGAGTATCGATATCACCTCGCGATGAGTGGAATAAACGTAGCAGGCCTACAGTGTTTTTGGGCCATCGGCTCCCCAGATTCAACATGTGTCGGCTTCAGGGTGGTAGCCTTCCTCTCAGTGCTGGTACCATGTAGAAACAGCACAGTTCGGGGCTCAACACAGCGAGGAACTTTATACACCATTCAGGCTCCACCAGCCAACCCAAGCAATGCCAGCGATCTTTAGGTCATTAACTCTTCAGATCCTTGTCTGACGGACTCCTATCTAACACCAATCCAGAATAACATCCACCCTCCTGATGCACATCCCGTCTAGAAACAAAATCCTGCCCAACACTCAGCTTATTCGGCACCAAACCTTACCTAACCTCAAGCCAGCTCGATAACAATGACAAAAACGTGGATTTACAATGCACAAGGGGGTGGATAGAAATGGGTAGACGAACAGGTTGTTTCTGACTGCAGCATGGGCATGTGCATAGGATTGCATAGGCATAAATACGGGTACAGGAGCTTTCAGAAGCATCAAGCTGGTGCCTCCTATGGGACCAGTACCAAGCCCATGATCGCCCTGAACCCGCAAGAATCCTCACAACAAGTACAATCTCTCTAGGTACCCCAGGCAGAGCTCCCGGCCATGGAGGCAGAGACAGCCACGGCGTGCTTCTTCCGCAGCTCGCCCAGCAACTGAGCAAGTCCAAGTGTGGTTCTACTATCACTGCTACTGGCACATGACTGTTGTTGTTGTTGTTGTCGTTGTCGTTGTCGTTGTCGTTGTCGTTGTCGTTGTTGTGGTTGTTGTGGTTGTTGTGGTTGTTGTTGTTGTTGTTCTTGTTCTTGTTCTTGTTCTTGTTGTTCGGGACCTGTAAGACAATTACTTCTCGCGGATGATGGGTTAATGAAAAACCTAACAACAGTGAGATTGCGACGATGTTTGGCATGCTTTGTGCATGTTCCGGCGAGTATCAAGATTCACCTGGTTGCTGCTGGCATTGTTACTCCTCAGTCGTATTCTGGGCTAGTTCTTCTGGGTGCCCTATATCCTAAGGGGCCGTGCTGCGTTGCAATGGGAATCCACAAACGGACCATGCTTTTAACAACCCCCACAAGGGTCATGTACAAGCCCCACACCCTGTGCCTTTAACTCAAACCTCTGAAGCCCAAACACGGGCCCTGTTGTACGAAAGCAATTTCGAATTTGAGCTAGGTGTGGAGCTCAATGTGGGTTTGCTGAATACAGTTTTATTTTTGCAGATTCCTTCCTCAGCACGCCCTCATCTGAGCTGACACTCTACCTTCAGGTACTCATGAACCTGAGAACCAGTCGCAAGCTTCATCGGCATTTGGCAATCACCCACAAACCGCTGCCAGTACTAATGAACTCTGGATGTCCTTGCCAAACCATCCAATGCAAGCGCGCATTAATAACGACAACACATCCGAGCCCCCAAGCGCTAGCCATAAACCTTGAACCCAGCTGAAACCCTAAGAAGCTGGCCTCGAAAAGGTGTCCAATTGACCGTCCGGCAATGCCCTCCTGGCTTTCACACTTCGGGCTTGAGTCTTCATGCTTTACGGAGTGACTCAGCGTCTTGAGCTGCACGAGTTGGGGGCAAAGGCGCTAAGGGGGTATGGGTGTATTTTTGGGCTGAGGGGTTGGGGCATGCTCTTAATCTCTTCGAAGGGTAGCAATGCATGGTAACCCAGATTTGAGCCTAAGTGCAGAACAAGGGCACCTCGGTTCGATGATCAGTTCTGGACTTAAGGACCTGTACGATTCTTTGCATCGAGGTTCCTACGATTGGCATAATATCTAGGACGGGCCAAATGCGAATGTCACTGGCTTATCGTTAGCTTGTCCTCAAAGAAGCTCGTTTGCTTAGGCATTATAACCTTTGATCGAAAACAAGTACTGTAATACAAGCTCTTGATTGAGGCCACTTGATCCCAACCCCCCTAACCAACATGAATCGAGGACATGTGGGCCCAGAAAATGCACAAGTTGACCTGTCTTTGCAAATCTCCTCAGTGATACAGCGACTGCAAAATTTCGAAGTTTTGATATGCAATCTTTAAATACTTCGTCGTGCTTAGAGTTTTTATGAGGCAAGCGAAATCCTGCAAACTGAATCTCTTAGAAATAATCACATATCTTTCCTGAGTGGTTTCATGTGCTTGGATAGCTGCGACTGCATGACTAACTATTTTGCTTGAGCGCTGCGCCATGCTTCATGCCCCTTTGCCTATAGGCCCCAATTCAAGGCCTAAAGGACCAAAGCCCCCAACATGCTGCCTTAGCCTTCTTGACCATAAACGAAAAGTACCTCTGAAACGCCGACTTCCCTTCCCTCAAACCCCAAAGCCCCTTGCACCCCCAACTGTCTCACGTTCACGCGCTTTGCGGGACGGTGCCTGCTCTGGTGTCCCGTACAGCGTGAAGGTTTTGCCAGCGCCGGTTTGCCCATACCTCGAGGATATGGGTGCAGGTTGGGCAAGTTGTGGGTGCAGATGCTCTAAACCATGGATTGAGGTGTGGTTTCGAAGGCAAAATTGTCGCTAATCGCCACAGCACAATTATTTGACATAATATCCACGATGGTAGCCCAAGCACTTCGCAGCAATGATGACCCATTATCCTTGCTAGCTCTAAAGCTGCAAGAGCAGCAAATGCTGCTTCAGCAGCAGCTCCTGCGGCAGAGCCTAGGCAACAGGTACTGGAGCCTAGGCAACAGGTACTGCAGTTGCCCAGCAAGCCTTGAAAGAACCCATGTCCAAAGCGCACGCGAAGATCGTGACATTGTAGCCGTCAATGGCGGACTGCACCAGGCCCTTGCAGTCCTGGCGCCACCAATGTCAGAAACAGCAAAGCCCGCCTTGCAATTTGAGCTCTGAAGGTTTTGGAAGTCTTAGGCCTCTGGCTTCCTAGAAGTGTGGTGCGAAGTCTTGCGCAGGCTTTTTCAGCGAACAGAAAGACTGGTGATTTTGTGCCGGGAATTCTGGAGGATTTTTCGAAGAGGCAATTTTACTCTAAAGAAAAAACCGGTCAAACTTCCCCGCAGATTTCGCACACCCCTCAACATGGTGTCTATACCCCCATTCTTCGCAGATGTCTAATCTTCCTAAACAGCATAGTCTTGCATGTCCAAAAGACAGCCAAGCCGTAGAAATTGACTCGAGCTGTCGCAATCTGAAGCTGTGCTTGCTAGGTCTTACCCGAACGTGCAAGCCAGCAATCGAGGTTTCTCACACTGCACCTGTAAGCATGAAGCCGGGATGCTTTCGAATTTGCACTTGTTGTAACACGACAAATTCAGAAACACAAAAATCCCTGCAGGCCAATAGCCCTAAGAAGTCACGGTTCCGGGCAAAAGAAACGTGGACACACACCATTTAAACTAAGCGCCTGTTTGAAAATTCCCAACCATCGCTCTGGGGTCTATATGCCGGCGCTTGGAGCCAACGAGGCCATCAATAGTATATGCTCAACTTTCGAGAGTTGACTTTCATCCATGGCTTCACGCAATGCTCGGGCGCAGATGCAACAAAATACTGTGGATCTTGATCAACTGCCGGGTGTAGTGGCAAATCAGTTATGAACACGCAAACCCCAAGGCGGGACCTCACAACCTTAATCAACGACAAACCCAAGCCGAAGCAAACCCCTGCAAAATCTCGAACTGGCAATGACACTGAAGCCCACACTGACCGACATGAACCTTCATTGCTCAAATAAAGTCATAGAGAGACAACCCGGTAGCGTAGAAGCACAGGCCGTGGGCCTTAATTTCAGCTTGGCGCCCTGGGTCAAGGCATGTCAAGCCTATCGCCCTCCGGTTCGGAGCCTGTGAAATGCATGCAAGCCTTCAAGCCACTAAACGATCGTGCAACCCGAAGAAATGAACTTTCAAAGCTTATTGATACTCCTGCCGAATGTTTCTACTATTTATTCATGGCGTTGAGAAGCATAAATCTGGTCCTCGAAGACCTCCTCTTGACTGCCGGGTGCGAAGACACCGTCAAAGGAGTAGCTTGCTCCCTGCGAGACCTGCTCAGCCGCAGTTTAGAGGGACTAGGTGTAAGTTTAAAGGGCAGGCTACGCCCAGAACTTCTATGGCCAAGGTAGCCCGATTCTGGACAGCCCCGGCTAATCCGCCTCCAGTCGCATCATGTCCACCTTGGCTTTGGTTGGGCATCCATTGAACGGTGCAGTTCTGATGGATGTAGGGGCTTCAGCACTTGCCGCTCGATAGGGAACAAAGAACAACATGTGGCCATGAATCGAATGCCAGAAAAAGGCGCACATAACGCATAATGCCTTGTGTAAGTGCATAGTAACCACATGGATAAGAACTTGAGGGGTCATCCCTTTAGAGCTTGAAGCTTCAAGAGTGCAATAATTCCTTCCTCTTAATATTACAACCCCCCTAGTATTAACTACTAAATTCAGGGAGGGGTAAAAATCCGGAAGAGCACTTGTAAAAGCGGCCACGTAATAATCAATTAGGGGGGATGTTCTTAGGCCAATAGGGGCTCAATGATTTCATATTCAATTACCAACTAATGTGATTTACTGACCGATCTAATGCATAAATTAATGGCTGATTCTCCAGCGAGTTCAGAAGGACTTGAAAGGCAGCCCTACCTAATTCTTGCAATAGCTAACCAGCATTTTTCTGGCACCGGATTATGAATATTAGGGGGGGAGCGGGGGACGTCGTTTAACATTAGAGGGGAGCGAATATACTTGATTCTGAAAAGACTGCACTGGCTTGCCATGCCCATCTCCTGTAAACGTATTCGAAGTGAATGTGACGACCACTAGACTGGACTGCAAGGAGGACGGCTTGAAGGTTGAGGTTCTCAAGAATTGCTATCACTGAGGCTCCAGAGCATGACCAAAGCGCCAACTGAAGTTCAAGCCTTTTTGGCGAGTTGTTCTTGACCCCAACGTGAGCTGCGAATCAGCATGTCTACATGCCGAAATCCTGATACATGGCCTCGACTCAAAAAGGCCGAACAACCTAAGTACCATTTCATTTAGCCTCAGGGTAAACTCAACTTATGAAATATGGAACAATCCACCCGGAACTTTTGGGGCACAAGACCGCCAGCACTTGGAGCCTCACAACTTTCACCACTTCCTCGTCATTGTTTTGTCGCTCCTCACGATTTTCAAAATGTGTCCAGAAATGATGTCATTTCATTTCCGGGACTACTTTGGACCGAAAGGCTGCCTTCAACGCGATTCAGGGCGCTTGAAAATGCACGCTTCAAAAAACATTCACTCAAGCATCTGGTCCACAATCTTGGGGTGTCCGGCTTCGAGATTACTGTTTCTCCACGTCTGTGGGCTCTGGCCACAAGACTGGCAGCCTAAAACTTACTGGGTGTGTCTCGGGACTAAGGGAATGGAGTCAATACTGGTTCTACAGGGATTATACTCGCCCAGTAAGAAAAGTAGAATCTTACAATGACATGCGCTGCCTGTTCTCACGAGCAGGGTCATGCAGTGTCGGCGACACTAGAAAATACGGCAGCAAATTACGCACCCAACAGCTCAAACGCTTAAACTTACCAAGAACCTTGTTCTCCAGACTTTTGGTCCGCAAGAGTCCCATGGCCCAAACCAGAACCCGCACATTCTCACCTTGTCGTTCAGCGGCCGTATGCGGCAAAAAACTCGGAGATGGCCCTTGATGTCCTGCCGCAAGGCGCTGAGACTGCATGAAGTTTTCGGGAAGTTGAACTAAGAATAATGCTGTTTCGAGGTAGGTGACGGCACCCCTGCATTGATAGATGTGTTGTATCATTGAAGAATCTGTTGTTTCAGTGCTCACGTCCAAGGCCACAGGGCTTACGAGGGCTGGAGGATTTACAATCTCAAGCCCCAAGCGAGCCAACCCTGCAACAGCTCGGTTTCAAAGGAACCGCGAAGTCTCAACCCCCCAAAATGGAAGGATGCCTCGTCAGATTCTGAAGTCTGGTGCCTTCACCGGGGTCCCTTTTTTCTGGATGCTATTTGGGGTTCTCGGACCTGAGCAGACAACTTCGGGCCAACATCTGCCACTCTCAATGCATGTCCCCCCCCCATAATCAGAATCTTTCTGGCCTCGATGGCATTGTGCACCTGTCGGCGAAGCGACTCAACCTGGCTCATGCAGCTGAAGGGTGGGCGGATAAGGATTGAAATTCAAGGCTTGTCCACTCCAACGCACACCGCATTTCATCTTTACCCCTCCCAAACACGCACAGTTCACACTGAAAGTGGCCTCTACAAAGCAGGCAAGTGCCGTTCAGTTCTACAGTAAGTATCACATATCTTTCTTGCGAGACTAGGGTTCCAGGGAAAATAAAGCCTTTCATCAACATCGCCCCATTTGCAGAACAGGGGGAGATGATGCTTGTTGGTAAAACACGTTCCTAAAACCAAGTTGGTCCGCTTTTGTGTCGTCCTGTGGGCCGGCTCGGGACAATAAGTATGTTTGTAACTTCTCGGGCCCCTGATTTGTTCGGCCCGAGCCGCTTATCCCTCCACACATCCCTAGGCAGTCTGCTCCCCAACCCGTCAAGCTCGGCCAGGGTCTCTTGGGCGACATGGGGACTGCAAATGGGGTTGTATAAAAACCCCGTTCCTATTTGCTTGACCCGAAATGAATGTTATCGTTTTTTTGTCCTCTTATCGTTTTTCCATCTAAAACCCTCATTTTAACATAACAATACAATTGGGAGCATATTGTCTTAGCAACTGTCCTAGCCCAGACAAAGGTTCTGCAGGGTTGAAGGATTAGGGCTTCTAGACCGACGGAGGCATTTAGCGGGGTGGCTGACCAATGCCTTTTGCAACCTTTGTTGTTGCAGGTCACCGTACAGCCCCCTTGAAATCCAC